GTTCAATATTTTCAGTCAGAATCGATGAAAATGTTCATATCTCAGCCAAAAATTGGTTTATAAATATGGGAAAAAATCTATAAATATATTGCTTTTGCTCATAAGTCGCAGGGCATGAAAATTATGCAACAACAACAAAAAAAAAAACTGTGATTTATAGGCCGAAAAATACAGTAAACGTTTAAATCAGGGATGCACCATTACCAGTGACTGGTATCAGTCCAAAGCAGGATATGTGTACCAGTACTTGTAAAAAAATTGTTCCAATTCCAAAGTACCAGTGTTAATTTCAGGCAACATGACGTTGGTGTTTCAGTTGATTGTTCAAGTGGGAGAGGAGGAGGAATGTCAGCCATGTTGAAACTGACTGTTTTTTTACATTTTGCTTTACACTGTTTGACATTCTGACACTCCTTGCTAGTTTTGATGAGATAATCCACATGACCACCAAGAAACAGAAGTAGCAGTAGCTCGGCGATCAGAGCTGTGTGTTTGCAATCTGGATGTTGTGTTTTTGAGCCAGTGCTTAATTTTTCAACCAAATGAGGCTGGAACACAAATAGTGAGGGGAGGGGGGGGTCTGGGGGTGTCCTCCCCAGAAACTTTTGAATAAAGTAGATGCCATTTCCTGTGTTCTAGTGTATTTTAACGGGTTGTTAAACATCTACGTTTACCTACATAAGTAAACACTTGATTCAGTAACTATTTTAGAGAGCAACAAGACCAACAGCTCTTTCCTTGTGTGAGAGCACGCTCCGCTTCTCTCAAGCATCCTAACACCCCCCACCCGTGTCCATTACTATCTCTATTGCCACTCGTTCAACCTTTATTTATACAGGTTAGTCTCATTGAGTGGTGGCACAGAGAGAGAAGGTGGGGCTGTGATCAGAAGATCGTTGGTTCAACTCCCAGTACTGGCAACATCAAAATGTGGGTGGGATAGGTGACGTACCCACACCTGTCTCCACCATCATTTGCCCCACTCTGGGCCCTTGAGCAAGGCCCTTAACCCCTCCATCTGCTCCACAGGCGCCCTAGATGGCAGCTCTCTGCTGATAGCTCGGTGATCTGTGGTTGCGTCAGGAAGGACATTTGTCGTAAAATAACTGCCGCGTCTTCGTGCGACTCAGTTCGCTGTGGTGACCCCTGAAGAAGGAAGCAGCCGAAATTAAAAAAAAAAAGTCTCATTGAGTCACGAGTACTCATTTACAAGAGAGACCTGTTTTAGACCAAACCACATATCAGGTACAGACAACAGCATGCTTCATGTGCTTCAGTTCTCGGTTGTTTAGTTGTACAGTGAGAAGCCTTTTTGATTAATGAAAGTTAACTGGACTGTCTTTTCTACATTTTCATCACTGTGATTTTGAGAAATTTGCGCGGTTGTTTGATATGTGGTGTACGTAACGATGTGATTACCCATCAAGCATTTCTTTCGTATTTTTAATAAATAATCCAAATTTTATTAATGACCCACTTTAACTGTAAAACATTTGCAATTTAGTTGTGCTGTTTAATTATATCTTTGTGTTTTTAATTCAATTGCCCATGACTGTACTTTTAGGGGCGGAGTTTTTTTTAAGCGTTAATGCTAACTGGAAGGGGCAGCTCTGATGTGATATTAAGAAGCTCGTAAGTGGTTATATTTAAAATTTGTGTTTAATTGTTTTCAGACTGCATGGGTTTTACTCATTCAAGGCAGTCAAATTCATTTATAACTTTATTATTAGTAAGCCTGAGAGCTTCCGGATCCAAGCAAAGAGTTACTGGAATGCACCCTGTCAAAATAAGAGAGTTCCCGGATCCTGTTCTGGCAGAATCCGACTTAAAGTAAGCCCTAGTTTGAGTCCAAGTTGTGTCAGGAAGGGTATCCAGCGTGAAACAAGTACCAAATCTTAAATGCAAGACTGCACGCTGTGGCGAGCCCTGAACAATGGAGCAGCTGGAAGAAAGCTTAATCTGGCGGAGCAAAGTTTGGAAATAGAAATAGTCATGATATCCATATGATCTAGTTATTAAAATGTATACAAGCTTCATTGGGCTTGACCGGATATGATTAATCCCTGAGTTGATGTGATGGGTCACAAGTGGTGTGTGCATCCACCTTCATCTGTACAACACTGCGTTCGTGACGTTCAGCATCATCACCAACAACAAAGAACAAAGAGACACAAAAGGCTGAATGAGCACAATTTCCCCATCATGCTATATGTCATCCGTCTCCCCTGTGGTTACGTTTTAAGAGGTCTAAGTGGTTTAATAACTGTTTTCCAACATGAGTCAAAAACAAAATGAATGTAGTTTCAGCCAACTTACCAGGTTTAGGTGTCCAGATGGTTTCGTCTGAGCACAGATGTGGAAACCACACACATGAGACGTACCATGACTTAAGTCTTTCAGCTCTAGATCTAACCTTCACAACGGGGGGTTGTCTCAAATGTCATCACCCTTCTGAGTCATAAAACTCAAGAATATATTAAGAAAGGCAACTGAAAAAGATTGTCTGAACTGGGAAATCACCACTGAATCCTCCAGTGAAATTATGGTGAATTGTCACGCGCTACAGCATGACTCCAGTTTTTTATTTATTTGTTTATTTATTTACCATGAACTGAATGAGTGAGAACCTGTTCCAGCTTTCAGTTTCTTTACATTACATCCAGGCTCGACTATTGCAACTCACTCCTTTTTGGTATCAGTCAGACCTCCATAGCTAGACTTCAACTGGTCCAAAATGCAGCAGCCCGGTTTTTGACCAGCACAAGCAAAAGAGAGCACATTACACTTGTTTTGGCCTCCCTACACTGGCTTCCAGTTCACCTTCGAATCAAATTCAAAATACTCTTGTATGTCTATAAATCACCAAACAGCTCTGCCCCCTCCTATCTTACTGATCTGCTCCAGCCGTATGTCCCACCACGTTCTCTCAGATCAGCAGACCAGTTGCTCCTAACAGTCCCAGGAACCCGCCTCAAGCGCAGAGGTGACAGGGCCTTCTCTGTAGCAGGCCCAAGACTTTGGAATGAGTTACCTCTGCTCGTTAGACAGGCCCCCTCCCTCACAGTTTTTAAATCTCGCTTACAAACACACTTCTATTCCCTGGCTTTCTGCACTGTGTGATCTGTGCTGAGTCTGTGTGCATCACACTGTGTTGGTCATGTTGCAGTTGTTGTTGTTATCCATTATTGTTTTTGTTGGTTTCTACTTTTTGGTGTCCTGTTATGTAATCTGTTGCTGTGTGCTTGTTCTGTTTGTCCCTGTACAGCACTTTGGTGTGCTTTGTCACTGTTTAAAGTGCTATATAAATAAATTGGTATGGTATGGTATTTCCAGCTCCACTCTCCCTCTGCCCAGTTTCTGCAAACAGCCTTCATTCACTGCACCTGTTCACCTCCCTACTCAAGCTCCCTGCTCGCCTTCATTCAGTGCCAGATTCTTGAACCTTCACCAAGTAGTAGAAATCCAGTGTTACCTTTTACTGACTCTTGACCACAAACCTCAGCCTGTTTTTTGACTCCTTGCCTTTCCCTTCTGCTCAGCTGACCTCGATACCAACCTTGCATTCTCTCTCGACTAAGCATTTGGATCACGTTTTGGCTCTGGCTTCTGCTTCTCTGTGTTTGACCCCTGCCACTGGACCACAAAGCTGGATTCCCCTTTCTGGACTCTCAACGCTCCTGGACTGCGCCGCTGTTGCAGTTCACTCTTCCTGAGTGACATCACCAGCAACAGCGAGACTACAGCCCAAGTCAAACTATGAAGACAGAAGGTTAGTGAAAAACCGTAGAACTTCTCAACACCCTTTCTCCAGAAACCAGTTCACTAACTCTTCTCTCTTGACGAGTCAGACCGGGCCCAGTACCCAGACCTCAACCAGAAGCAGTCTGTATACAATAAACACATTTAAACCTTTTCTGTGTTGTGCTGATCCAAAACTGGTTGTCAACGCTGAAGACCAATTTGTTGCAACAGGTTATAAAATTGATGTACTTTGCTACCATTTAAGTTCTCCTTAGAAGGGAAAACATTTGAATGCATTCATCAATAATATTTAGATTACCCAATTCTAACTTCTGAGGGCCAAATCAATTCATTACAAAGAGTTTCCATCGTAACATATTACTATGCGAGTCCAAATTTGTCTTTTAAGATTTATTTACAAAATGAAATCACTACAGACTTAAACAAAAAAAAGGTTAACTCTGATAATTTGGGAATCATAGTTTGAGCTGTTGCATTAAGTCTTTACTCTGAACCAGCTGTTAAATGTACTCAATGGTTTAATGAGTATAAAGCTCTGGAGCAAGGATCAACCCTTTAATTAGAAACCCTTTAGGAAAGAAAACTTCCTTAGACGGAGGACCCAATAGCTTAAAGGAGGAGTCACAAGAATGTTTGGTAATCAACGTTCCAGCGATGAGTTGTGGTTTGACTCGGCCTTATAAGCTGGTGGACCCTCATCAGCTGTAAGGATTATAGCTGAAGCTAATCAGCTCTGCACAGGAGCTTCAAGAGGTTGTTAGTCGTACAGAACAATGGAACACTGGAATCCTCACACTGAACAGTTTATTGATAAATGGTTCGCATTAGATTTTAGGTCAGAAGAAGGTTAATCTGCCAGATGATCAGAATAGTTTATGGACATGTCAGATTAGAAATTAGCATTTTGTTTATCATCTTGCTTTAAGGAACGGTCTTAAACTCTTCAACTGATGGAGTCAGGAGTGGAGGTGTGACACATCTTAAAATATTTAGTGACGAAACCCATTTCTCAGAGTTACAAAAAATATATTTTTCATCTTAGTTTTAGCTTCGTAGCTTAAATGATCACAACTTTACAAGTAAGTATGATACACTGGATTGAAAATTATGTGAATAAAATATTAAACAACAATAAAAATAATAGTTGGAATCAAAATGTAAGATAAATAAATAAATAAAAAAAACCAACCTTGATGACAACAAATACATTTAGTCAAAAGGTTGACTACTGAGTGGCTAAATTCTGTATTCTAGGCTGTGTTGAGTTTGCTTGCATGTTATTTTATTGCTTCCTTTGAATAGCGGCTGTTGGGCGGGTCTTCAGCATTAGTAGTTCTTGGACTGGCCTGTGACTGCCCTGATAAAAGTCCAGTCCTGTGATCCATTCAATGTCTCGGACCCGCGACTGGTGAAACCAAATATGATCTTCCACCCAGTGGGATTCATCATCTGCACTCTGGGAGTAAGAGAGAAAGAAATAAAACTAGATGAATTGCATTTCCTGCAAAAATACAGTGTGAATATTTATTACAGAAGAACTTGCTGAAAAACAGCTGAAATTAGCTAAAAAAATCATGCTGAAACGGAAGACCAAGTATAGTGTAGCAGAAAAAAACAGAAAGAACACATATTTGCTGAATTAGGTTTAATAAAAGCAGAAATGAGCACAAAAATTAGAAAATGAGCTTAAATAGCTGAAATTAGCCCCCAAAATAGCTGAAAAGAAGCTGAAAAGGCAGAAAGAAGCTTAAACTACCAGAAGGAAATGGAAAGAGCTGGAATGAGCTAAAAAAAAAGTGCAATTAGCTGAAAATGCTAAAATTAGCTTAAAACAACTAAATAGTGGCATAAAGTGCAGACAAAGTTGAAACTGGCAGAAAAAAGCAGGAACAAGCTGAAATTAACATTAAAAAGTGAATTATGCTCAAAGTAGCATAAATTCCTCCCCCCAAAAAGCAAAAAACACATTTATCTGAAAACAGCTGAAATTATCTAAAAAATACTTAAAAAAAATACTAGCTGAAATGGTAGAACAACTTTAAAATAAAGAAAGAACACAAGTTTGCCCATTTAGACTGAAAGAAGAAGAAACAAGCAGAAAAAGGTGGAAATTATCTGAAAAAAGCTGAAATTAGCAACAACAACAACAAAAACAACAACAAAAAAAACTGATGAAAAGTAGCTAAAGAGGTAGAAAGAAGCTTAAATTACCAGAAGGAAGTGGAAAAAGTACAGTTCTGCTGAATTAGTCTGAAAAAAGTCTAAATAGGTGCAAAAAATGTGGAATCGGGTGAGGATGCTAAAATTAGCATTAAAACAGCTAAATAGTAGCTGAAATAGAAAAAGCTGAAACTTGCAGAAATAAGCTGAAAGGAGCATAAGCTGAAACTAACAGAAGTTAGAAGAAGCACAAAAATGTTGTAGTTAGCTGAAAGACTCTGAAAGAAGTACCAAACAGCTGAAAAAACAGCTAAAATTCGCTGAAAGTAGCTGAAAAAAGTTTACATTTGCACAAGGAAGCTGAAAGAAGCTGAACCAGAACAAAATGTGAAAGGAGCAGTAAAAGGCTTTAAACAGATCTAAAGAGGTGAAGGATGTAAAATGAGATCGATTCAGTTTCTGAGGAAAAAAATGGCAGAAAAGGCTAAATATTTCAAAAAGCTAAAGTTGCACCAATACCAAAAGTCATATCATGATTGTCCTGAAAGAGCTGAACGTTTTGATTCATGATTTGTTGAAATAGCTCGAAAACTGCGGGACGAGAACCGCACTGAAAAATGTACGGAAGAAAAATGGATCACAATAGCGTGAATACTTCATGTCTTTTCTGCTTTCATACACAACGGGGAGTAACAACATTCATACTTTGTTTATTTAGAAACTTTAGTACCAGTACTTGTACATGTTCAAGTTCTTGAAGCAAATGCCACTATGCACCAAAACAAAGTGTTCTGCTTATCTGATTTTACTTAGTACAACTTTCAGCTACGTAAGACAAAATACTCATTTAGGACAAAAGGTTGTAGAACATGTGTACTTGTATTTGTGTATTTATGTCTTAAAGCTAAAAGTAAACAATTTATGTTCTTTTAATTTATCTAAAATTTTAAACACCCCAATTTAAACACATTATTCATTTTAAAGCGGTAAGAAAAGGTTTTGTCTTTGAACCATTTAATTTGGTGGTCTTAAAATATATATTTGCCTTTAAAACTGGACAGAAAATGTTTTTCAGTCCTTTTATGGTTACAGATAATAACTTGTATTTTGAAGCACTTTTGGAGATATTTTTTAAATTAAGTTTTGTTTAGTTATTTTATGTTTATTTATTTATTTTAGATTTTTTTTCACAGCTGTTCTCCAAGTCTTTAAAAATTTGGCATTTCTTTGCTTGTGTTAATTTTCTTTTTCTAAACCTCAAATTCAGACAAGTTGTAGTGTTGACAATAACTAAACATTATACATTATGTATTTTTATTTATTTCCTTTGTTTCTGGAATGGACAAGATATCTAGCTATTTGAAAAATAGGAAACAGTTTGTACAAATAAATGATGTTAAGATCTGACCTCTGTGATATCACAAGTGGAGTTCCTCAAGGTTCTGTACTTGGACCAAAGTAATTTATTTTATATGTGAATGACTTGGTAAATGTGTCAGAACTCCTTAAATGCATTCTATTTGCAGATGATACCACTTTTTTTTTTTGTTGGGGTAAAGATATAGAATGGATGTTGGAATTTGTAAAAATACAAACTTGGTTTAAACTTAATAAATTATCATTAAACTTAGATAAAACTAACTACGTGATATTAACTGTCGATGTTCCATTTAGAGTCGAGGGTGTTGAGATTTGTAGAGTTAGTGAGGTGAAGTTTTTGGGTGTTATCATTGAAAAAAAGCTGACATGGAAACATCACATAAATTCTGTAAGAATAAAAATAGCTAAATCTTGCAGTACTGTGCAAAGTAAGGGAGGTATTAAATGACAAAGCTCTGTATTTGTTGTATAACGCAATAATCGTTTCACACAATCTATAATATTGATGTTTAGGGGAAAGTGTGCAAAACAATTACAAATCCTATTCTTTTGTTTTACAGAAAAGAGCTTTAACAATTATTACCAGGAAGCATGTCAGTCACCCATCAAGTACTTTATTTGATCAACTGAAGTTATTCAAGTTCCATGATTTGGTAGATTATAGTATTTTATCAGTTATGTATAGGGCTCGCAAGTACTTTATTTGATCAACTGAAGTTATTCAAGTTCCATGATTTGGTAGATTATAGTATTTTATCAGTTATGTATAGGGCTCGTAATAACACATTACCTTTAAATATCTAATTAAATGTTGTTAAAATAGAGAGTTTTTATAATCTTAAGGGGATAAAGATATTTGGGAAACCTAAATTTCGAACTAGTTTGAAGGGACGGTCTACTTCAATCCAAGGAATTAGATTATGGAATAATCTGGCGAGTGATGTTAAAAATGCCAGATCAATGTTTATGTTTAAGAGAATGATCAAAGTTGGTTTGTTAAAAAAAATATGAAATAGCTTAATGTGTATTTGTATGAATTGTTGCTAGAGAAGGAGTTATTTTGCTTTTATGTGAAAAATATTATAGTTTGAATTATTTTTTTTGGAAAAAGGGGCAGATATAAGATTTTTCTTCTTTCTGCTGCCTTTCATTTTATTTGTGATTGTATTTCTTTTTGTATACAGAATTGTTTTGTTTAAAAAAAATGAATACGCTTTAAACTTTATAATTTTTATAATGTTATATTATATAATTTTATAATTCTGCATCGTTTTTATGTCTATATTCTGATTTGCTTCATTTTGTATGTTGCTTCGTGTGTTACCTGTTGTTCTGTCTGTACAGCACTTTGGTTAGCCTTGTCGCTGTTTTACGTGCTCTATAAATAAAATGGTACGGTATAATAAAAAACTTGATAACTTCAATATTATTATTATTATTATTTATTATTTTTCTGATTTTTTGAAATTGTACTCTATTAATCTCAAATGGGGAAATTAATTATCTGCATTTTTCCCAAAGCACATGCACATGTGAAGCAGAGGGCTGCCATCCAAGGTGTCTGAGGAGCAGCTGGGAAGGTTAAGGGCCTTGCTCAAGGGCCCAGAGTGGGGCAAATGTGGGTGCAGACAGGTGTGGGTGTTTCACCTTTTCCACCCACATTTTGATGTTGACGGTACGGGGAGTTGAATGGCGACGCTCCGATCACAGGCCCACCCTCTCTAGCCTCTGCGCCACCACTCCCCCTAGTTTTGCTAGAAGTTTAAGATGGACAGCTGTCAGAAAAGGATTTATCAGCTGTATTAACTCATCTACTTAAACCAGACTTTTACATAAAAAAAAAAAACGACTTTTTAAAGCTGTTTCATGTGAAACAATCTGATCCTGCAAGTAACAATGTTGTTGTCTTCAGGTTTCACTCCTGCTTAGGTTTCGGTACACGATAAAACCTGACGAGGACCAGACAACAAAGACGACCGTTGTTCTGTTCAGGGCTACGCTGGAAGAAATGAAAAACCTTTAGTTTTTCACAAAATATCTGATTTTGTTCCGTGTTCACTTCACTCCCCTGAGGGATTTCCAGAAAACCCTGAACATGAAAACAAAACAAAAATTGCTTTTTGTTTTGTGGAATTCCTTTGAATAGGGATGTTTCTGTTCCACTTTCTCTGGCCCAGCGGCTTGCTGACAACGGAAACAAGCAAGAATAAAGATCAAGGCTCACCCAAGTTGCTGTTTTTTTATAACTTACTTTGCAACTTTCCATGTTATCAGCTCTGTGGGGGATCAGGAAGCACGCGGTCTGCAGCTCGCCACTGCACGCACTGACTGACTGACCTGGATTCTTGCAGCTGGTCAGCACAATGAAGTAATGTGTGGGTATGGAAATGTTTGTGTTGGGCACAAACCTAAAATTACAGAGAAAAGACTTCAAGTTCTGAGAATACATGACCCCAGCTTCACACACAGTGAACCTGACCGTCTAAACTCCAGGTAATCCTGAGAATTACTGAGAAAATTTGAGTCACAAGACTTTTTTCCTGTAGTTCACATTTTAAATTAATTCCTGTGGATATACAATGAAACATGGTGGCAAATGCAACAATTGTCAAAGGACTTTGTTACAGAATATTTGCGCCCACTTGTTTTCTGCACTGTAAAAAAAAGTCTGTAAAAATTACATTAAAAAGCTGTCAGTAAAATACCATAAAATCCTAAACAGAACATCTCTGTAGTACATAAAATGTACTACTACTGTACATCATAGGTACATTAAAAACAAGTAAATGTAAAATTTTTTAATTGATGAATTAGCATAAATTTTTTTAAATTACAGTAAAAACTGGCATTTGTAGATGATAAAAATGTTAAATTTACATGTTTTAGATGTATTTATCCATAAATTATTCTGTAAAATATGTTATTTTTAATGTATTTTTTTTACATAAAATACTTGTAATAAGTACAGTGAAAATGTGGATGTTTACAAACTAATATGTAAATTTTACTTCATAAAACTGATGAATTTACAGCTTACTCTGTAAAACTATTTACATGTTCATAGTAATTTTTACAGCATTTCTCTGGCAACCTAGCTGCCATTTTTATTTAGTAAAAATTACATATTTTTTTACAACGTGATCTCTTTCTGAGAGCAAAATTTGAATAAATAGGATTTTCTGATTTCTGATGCTGCTACGGTGTGGATAGAGCAAAGAAAAAACTACAGGAAATTTGTCAGTCTTGTTTGAAGAATATTCTAAAAAGATCTATTTTGCAAATATTTTTATCACCCACTATGACATTTGTAATTATTTAAGATATTTGCTCATGTTAAATTTGATAAAGCATTAAAAATGTTTGTAATATTAAATTAACACTGTAAAAAAAAATCTCACTGTTGTATTTGTTCTTGAGTGTCGTATCGGCCATCATAGTTGTAATCAAAGGCAGGACCAGTCACCACGTTGATGCCATTGTATACAGAGGCATATTTCTTTAGCAAAGTTTTGTGGAAATAATCCCAGATCTCTGAAAAGGTAGACAAAGAAAACAAAGTGAAAAAATTAAACTAAAAAAAGAAGAATGTATCATTCAGATGTGCTTCGGGGTTTGTAGTGGTGTCAAACTGTAACTTACTTCTGAACTCTGGGTACATCGGGACTACATTACTCACGAGTAAAGCATCAAACTGCTGGTCTGCTGTTACATTTAGATCTGTAAAAATACACAAACAGACGTTAATATTTCAAATGATCGAATGTTGCATAAATCTTACTGCTCATTTTAAAATCAATAGATGATTTCATATAGCCATTTACTCCTGAAATTTAAAGGTCATGGTCGTTCTTTTAGTGTTGTACCCAAACCTTCATTTTGTTCTAGTATCCCCCGCTCAACCTCTGGATTCAAGCTGCACAGTCTGTCAGTTTAGCAGCACACCTGCTCTTTGTTAGTCATCTTACCTGATTTCTACCTTGTCATTCTCTCACCTCAGTAGACAATAAATGGTCCCTGGTATTTACCGTACGTGCTTTCTGTCAGATCCTATTACCTGTTGAGCATTCATCATTTATTATCGCAGCAGGTCTTCAATGTTATTTGTTTAGTTTTGGTTTCATAACCATGGTGATGCTAATCATAGCCTCTGAATCTAAGCCTATACTGTACATTTGGGTCATTTCACCACAACTTTAAGTTTATCACGTTTTAAACAGTGTGATAAAACTGCTGCTACACCAAACTCTCAGGTTTTAGAAGACAATTGAACTAAAATAAAATAAAAATAAGTTGATCCTCTGTTCAGGTTTTTTTTTTTTTTTTTTTTTGGTAAAGTAAGTTCATGTAGATCCTCTGGATGGTTTTGTGTTGAAATGTTTGTACTTCATCCAAAGGACTTCATCAGTCTGAGGAGCCGCAACAAACTCAGTCCCATTAGCAGCACATTCACATAGTGGACCAACCAGTTTGATGGCGATAAAGATGGTTTCTGGAGTCTCCCCTTTCCCCCATCGAGGATAGGACGAAATGTTTTATCACAAAGAAACTGTAGAGGATGTGGCTTAAATTTGTTGGATTTTCTACCTGGATTATTGAGCGTGAACTTTGATATTTTGAATCACTTTAGCCATGGCTGCCTCAGAGGAGTCGACGGGGGAGAGGGTGGACTCCAAAACCAATCTTATCACCATCAAACTGGTTGGCTCAGTATATGAGAGTGCTGCTTGTGGGACTGAGTTTGTTGTGGCTCCTCGGACTGATGAAGTCCTTTGGATGAATGACGACACGTTTCAACTCAAAGAAACCGTCCAGATGATCTGACTTAACTTTGTTAGATGTTTTACTTTCACTACTGAGCATGAATTTTGATAAGTTCATGTAGGTTAAATGATAAATTGAAGATACCAAAATAATTTCAGTTAAATAAATAAAAAAAAAAAAATCTACATACAGTATAGAGAAAATCCTATGATGCTCCGTGGTGGTATTATTTCTTGACCAGGTAGTTTTACTGTAATATTTTATCAAATGTTGTTGTGAGGAAAGAAAAGTGAGGTTTTCAAGTTAAAAATGGAATAAAAAAGTAAAACTGTTTTTGGTTTATGCCCATGAAGCCCATGGACCAGTCTGACCTGGTGTTATGTCTTGTGAAGCAGAGTGTGTACCGGGCAGATGGTGATACATACTGGGTGGATATAAAAAGGCCTGGGTCCAGTTCTCAGCAGCGACATAGTCGTCACATCTAGGACTCTGAAGGGCTGGCAGTCTCACATCAGCCCTCAGGCAGTCTGGAGTCACTGGTGGCAGTGGATCTAAACTGGTCTGTAAGGCAGGGAATGGTGTGATTTAGACCAGATTTATGAACAACGGCTGGTTTCTATTATTTTACAAAGTATTTTTTATAAAATAATTATTGTACATATTGTCAATTTCACATGGGAAGCTGCAACCAGACTGTCTCTGGTCTTAGCAGTTTACTTTCATTAACATTTCTAATAAGTAATAACTGAACAAAATGAACTTGTATATACAATCCAACAAATGATGGATAACAAGACCTTGATTTACGCATCCAAGAGCAAAATAAATATGTTTACCTGTTTTTTTAAATCATCTTAACTGACTTTTCTTTAAAAAAAATGAAGCTACAGTATGTGTTCCTGAGAGTCTTCAACATTTACATTTCTCTGGTTTACTTTAGACTTTTAACAGCAATCAGTCCACAAATCAAAGTATGGATTGTATCTGGGAAAGAATTTTAAGTGTTTTTAGGTCAAGTAAAGGTTCTTTACTGTCATTTGAATCACATGTGGTACATGAGGTGGAACAAAATTGTGTACTCAGGGTCCTGGTTATCTCCAACAATAGCAATAATATGAAGTGTAACAAGACACAGTAAATAAGGATCTAAGATATTCATTCAACCTTTATTTATACATGTTAGTTCCCATTGAGCATCGAGGACTCATTTACAAGAGAGACTTGTGTCAGACCGACCAATAATAATAATAATAATAATAATAATAATAATAATAATAATAATAATAATATAGCTTCATTCAAACCATCCACACATCCACCAGATCCCATTCCAACCAGACCATTGAAAGACACACCTCCCAAAATCAGTATCTAAACCCTGGATCCGCCCAACCCGTCTCCAACGAATGGCCACGCACCTAGAGTTGTCATTTCTAACCCGAGCCCTGAGCCCGGCCCTGCCCAACCCCATTTCGGGGTAGGCCGGTCCATGATATTGTGCTGGATGGACGGGTTGGGTCGGTGTCGGGCTTTGATTGGGTCAGGATCAACCACAATCCAATTATATGATAACATGGCCTGCCATACAATCACCAGCCGCACGCGGCCATTTCACCGCGAGCTGACCGGCCTTGAAGGAGGTAAAAAGTTCAGATAAGCTTCAGTTGGGACAATACTGCCAGGAAGCAACCCATCAGTCCAAATGGACATTCATTCAGCTGCTGCACTCAGCCGCTGCACTCAGCAGATGCACGCGGCCGATGACCCAAACAGGTGAGATCCCAAAGCGGACATGTGTCAGAGCAGGGTCCGTGAATAAATCAGAATGCAGACAGAAACAGGGTTTAAATGCTCTTTACAGCCTTGAAAGGACAAACACCCACTCAGCTCTAATCTTCTGCACCTTAATTCAGCCGCGCATCCCCAACCGTTAATAACTAATTAAAAATGTCAGTTTTGTTTCCGGGTTCAGACCTGTAATTACTATTAATTTGTCAGGTCATGTGGGGTTTGCAAGTGATAACTGAGGGCTGGGGCCGGGTTGGATTGGATTTTTTGGGTCCGAATGCAACCCTAGATGCACCACAGAGCTCTAAGGCCACTGCAACCAAACCTCCACCCAAGAAACATACCCCCGACCCAGGAATCCTCGAATCCTCACCAACCATAGACCCATGTCCAATTCAACCCCCATCTCAAAAACTCCAGAGAAAACAGCCGCAGGTCAGATGCGTAAACATCCGCAAAGTAACAATCCACTCGAGGAGCCCAAATCAGGGTCCAGAGCTCATCACAGCACAGAAAGAGCACTGGTGAAAGTCACACCACTATGGCCCCCAACAATGGACCTGTGCCCACACTGGTCCTGCCAGTCCCCAGCGCCGCACCCAACACAGTATATAAAATAAGATATACGCAAAATGAATGTCAGTTATGAATGCCATAATACGCTAAACTCTTTTACTCCACATATTTTATAAGCTGTCTAATAATTTAACAAATATTCATGAATCATGGGAAAACATGAGGTACAGCTCTTATATTTGCACACAACTCTCGAGCTGACCAATTTGTTCTTGTTCTTATAGACATTTAATGTATCACATCTGCGTCACATTTGGTCAGTGGAAAGTTCAAGAAGAGGGTTTTCTGTTATTTTAACAAAGTTTTCCCACAAAAACGTGCCTTATTGTGAATTGGGTGCGTCCAAACATAAGAATGATACTTTTAGTGAATCACTAACCTCCTAAAACACTTACAGGCTTTGAAATGGTGAAGGAGCTCCACAGAGGCATAACGACCTCATGGCTGTAGGCGCTGATGAACCCCTCATGGTGGAGGACGCAGTAACTCCGATCAGGCTGCAGCATTTGAGGACGACCAAACAGCATGTGTTTCCTCTCCTCCATAGATACTAGTTAGGAATATAAGCAAACACCATGGTAAAAGTCATTAATGCACACATCGAAGAACAGTTTAAACAGCGTTTGTGAGCAAGTTTTTATGAAGAGATGATACTGAATGAACCGAAAAGCTTAATTATTTCATGAAAATCAAAGTAAAAACATGACAACTGAGTTAGATATCAATTAAACAAATTGTCTTACTCAAATAGTTACCATAAAACATATTTTAAAATTGGTTAAAATAAAATGTCACTCACTCTGCTCTGCTGTTAGATTCAAACGGCTGTTGATGTTTTCAGGCTGTAAGCAGACACAGGTTCAAGATAGAGAGTTTAATTTAAACACTTTGCTGTTCAGATCAAGTTAAATATGTTTTTTTATTATTATTTTATTTCTAAATGTACACAGAGCACAATGCAAGTTTTAAACCTTTATATCCTCACACTCTGACAGCATGAAGTTTCATCACAACCACAGACTTGGATATCAGGCATTCTTTTTAAAGATTGCTCTAAAAACTTATAAAAATCTAAGACATCACATTCTTATTCTAAGTCATGTTAAATGTGAGAAAAAATTATTCATTTCTAAGTTGCAGTATCTTAAAGCAGACTGAGAAAACAAATCCTGGGTATAAAAAACATATTTTTTTAACTGAGCATAAAGAGAATCAACTTCATGCCACCTTTAAAAGTTTAATGTAAGCACATTTTAAGGTATTTTATTCATAAATTAAATAACAGGTCACAAAAAGTCAACAACAGTCTTTACTGATCAGAACAGCATCAGTTATTAGCTGTGGTGTTTAGACACAACTTTACCATAGGGCAACAGGGACTGAAAGACCGACGTTTCTGTTATCAGAAGCCAGTTTGGTTGGGTGAAGGAGCTCCAAAACAACTTCTCCTGAAGTTATGACTTAACAGTCAGTCAGAGCCTCGAGTAACCCACAGAAATAAACTTTCCCAAGAAGTACGTTCAAAAACAAACTATCTTCTGCCCACCTCCCTTATTGCACATGAATAAAAGCTAACAGTCATGGGATTTTTAGTCAAGGTTTATGGATGTTTTTTTACTACTACGGCTGAGAATGTTAACTGCCCACGAACCATGTGTTTGAGTTACCGGAGAGTTTCTTTCCTCTATGAGAGAGGGCTGAATGAGGAGCTGCATGTGCAGCTGGGTGGCCGAGGTCATCGGTGTCTGCCTGTGAGCCGGGAGCTGGTAGGCTTATAAAAGCAATTCTCCCACGCTGCCCGTGGCAGATTCTCATGACTGAACTGCATTCAAGGTTCAAGGTTCTTTATTGTCATTTGCACACATGCGATACATAAGGTGGAACAAAATTGTGTACCCAAGATCACAGTTACACCCAAAAATAGCAATAATATAAATTATAAAAAAAAGAAAACCGTATACAAGGATATAAGATAAATGCTAAGCAATGGGGGAGAGAGATGGGGAAGAGACAGGGCAGCCGACCTGTGACCAGAAAATCGCGGCTCGACTCCCCGCCATTCCCACCTGTCATGGTGTTCCTGAGCAACACACCTAATCCCTAATTGCTCCGCAGGCACTTACATAGCTGCTCACTGCTCCACCTGAGTGCATCTCATAAATGCAGAGAACTAATTGGGAATATGGGAGCATACAATGATGACAACACATAGCATTTTATAACTTCTGTACATGCGTGTAACCTGTGGTGAATGTTTGCCCTTGCAAGTAAAACCAGTTAAATATCTTCTTGTGTCCTCGAGTGTGGCTTCCTTGAGTAAGTAAAATGAATAAAGGATATTTTTATCCAACACTAACTGCCTCTGTCTCGTTTACTGAAAAATATGTTTTGGCACTATGATCACATTCAGAATCAGCTAAATGCCAATAAGCACAATAAATATTATCAACTGCACGCCTCTCTAGTATGAATCTAAATGGCAACAAGTAGATGCGATAACACTGACCAGAGCTGGACAGGAGCATCCCAAGTCATCCACAGGGTCTAGGCTGACCAGCGGGCACTGCGTTGGCCTACTCTGCTCTGCTGGGGACGTTGGCGTGTAGTAAGGCTTCCTCAGGATGTGATTCATGCTGCCATGGGTCCCATTGTTGTCAACAGGAGAGATCTCTAGTACATCTGTGAATGAACAAGTTAAAACTTGTAGGCAAAAACAAATATGGCTAATTATACCCTGCTCTTGTGTGGCATTTGAAAGTTTCCTGTTCTTGACTGCCAAGCACTTGTTTTGTATCTTTTCATCTCAAGGGAAGATCAAATCTGCACCAAACCATGTTTTGTACACTTTTTAGACTCTGTAAGTGACTGTGTAACAAAAGGAAGGAAGAGTACGAGAAAATCATGAAATACTATGAGCTAAAAGAGGAAATACAGAAGTTGAGGGGAGTCGAAGCATCAGTGGAGCCCTCGGTGCTGTGACCCCAAGAATGGAAGAGTGGCTCCAACAGATCCCAGGAACAACCTCAGAAATCTCTGTCCAGAAGAGTGCAGTCCTAGGAACAGTTATACTGAACAGAACCCTCCCAGGCCTCTGGTGGAGGACCTGAGCTTGAAGTTAAGTGGAACTAAATAGTGCAAGCTGTGTTGTTTGTTATATATCTGTAAAATAACATAGTTTTAATATATACAGTTTTCTTTAAAAATTGAATATAATACTCACCACACATGAGATTGTACAGCTCAATGTTAGAAAACGGTTCAATGGTTGTTTTTTGATGAAATTTGGGTCCGTAGCTGAGAAACATGGCCTGCAAAAACAACAGAAAAGACAAAAAAGTGGTTTCATCTGACGAGAAAGGAGAAAGTAACAGATTAGTGAGAGAAAACTTTACACTCACATGCATGCTCTCGACATCATTGTCGTAGCCGTGATTACCACCAGAGCAGAACGTGAGAGATCCTGGAGCTCTGTAGAAAAATGATGGGGAAAAAACGTTATTCATTTGAGAGCCAGTATACAACCATTTCTGACGGGCTTGTAGTTTATGCTGATGTTTTTTTTTTTTTTTATCTATCAGTATTCTTCCTCCTCCATGTCACTGTCCTCTCTCCAACTACCTCCATGTCCTCTCTAACTGCATCCATATATCTCCTCTTTGTCTTTTCCTGGCAACTGCATTTCTAACATCCTTCTACCAATATACAGTACCCACTGTCCCTCCTCTTGACATGTCCAAACCATCTCAGTCTGGCCTCTCTAACTTTATCTCCCAGTTTTCAACCTGTGCTGTACCTCTGATGATCTCATTCCTAATCTTATCCACCTTTGTCACTCCTAAGGAGAACCTCAACATCTTTATTTCTGATACTTCCAGTTTCTTCTCCTGTCTTTTTGTCAATGCCACTGTCTCCAGATCATGCAGCATAGCTTTTCTCACCACTGTCTTGTAATCTTGTCATTTGATTTTTGCTGACACCCTTTTGTCTCAAATCACTCCTGACACTTTTCTCCATCCACTCCATCCTGCCTGGACTCTCTTCTTCACCTCTTTATCACACTACCCATTTTCCTGGACAGTTGATCCCAAGTACTTGAAGTCCTGCACTTTTTTGACCTCTGCTCCTTGTAGCCACCAGCCTTCCTCTCATCCACACACCTGTACTCTGTCTTACTACAGCTGACATTCATTCCTCTTCATTCAAGTGCATACCTCCACCTCTCCAAGTTCTCTTCCACCTGTTCCCTGTTCTCACCACAGATCACAATGTCATCCGCAAATATACTCCGTAGGAATTTCTGCTTGACCTCATCTGTTAGTCACAGAACAAGATGTCAAAACTTGAAAATGGGTGAGGTACTGGGCCTTTTTCCTCATGATAAATCGCTGCATTTGGGTCAGTCTTTATTGGATACAGACATAAACTAAACACTAGCAAGACATACATGTTGCATACTGTACATGCAGGGAGTACCTCTCAAAGAGCCATTTAGTTTCAACCAGAACGTTGACATCTTCAATGCGACGACTGCTGGCAAAGTGAAGGCGTTTGGGTAGATTGGCTTTGAGGTATGGCTTGATCTTTTGGTCTGGCTTCTTGCACTTAAATCATCACAAAAACAGAAACTGATTTTCTATGAAACGTTCACAATTTTAAACATTAACTGGGTTAAATTTTTACACGTTAGATTAGTTTAATATAAGTTGCATAGCTTAACAATATTTGTTTTGAATGTAACATGTATTGTAACTGAAAATTGATTTTGTGGAATGGTGGAGAGCTAAAGTCTGATCCCCACGTAAACACCAAGGTGCAAGCACCAAAAGCATCCATTCAATACTTACAGACATTTTGGATACAAGTCTTTCCGAGTCCACTAGAAAACAAAAAAAAATTGTTACTAAAACGTAAATATTGCTGTGACATAAACTTGATATCAAACCAAATGAAACTAGACATCACAACAAAACTTTTATCCTGGACTTTAATATTTTAACAATGTCTTTAGATGTTAACGGTATTTTATTAGTATTGTATGATGTACTTGAGTGGGAGTTCTGCTCTGCCAGCTCCTGCACCCACAGCCAGACTCTAATCAGCTACACCTGTGGATCATCGACTTCAAGAGCATGAGGAGCATAAAAGGCTGCAGAAGACATTCAGACAGCGCTGGAGCATTACCTGCATATAGTAGCCTTGTTCTAGCCTTTTTCTCATGTCTTAAACCAAGTATTAATGATTTGTAGTTTTCTCCATGCCTCCAGTGAGTTTCGCTTGATGTTCTCCTGTTGCCTGATTTCTCCTCAGCTGTCTTCACACCTTCCTACCACTTGCCTAACACGTGTCATCACTCAGACGTACACCTCCTTTGCCTGGACCATTTGGGTCAGTTCTCCCCACATCTGACCTCAACCTAAATCATAAGGAAAATCAGCAATAACATGATCACCCTTGACTATAAGAACTCTAATTGCCTCTTTTTTCCTCAGGGTTTCAGTCCTCTGCCTGGTTTATTGCATTATTTATCACTTGTAAATAAACACGGTAAATTCATTGAGTCTTAGTGTCTGTTCTCATTGGTTCTTGTATCTGGGTATAACCGCAATCAGAACAACTTGAAAGGAATTCATTTAAAAATACACTGTTTTTCTGTTATTTTACACTAGAGCAACATGTTCTCATTTATTTACAGAAGAGGTTATAACCTTTTATAGGAACATATAATAATAAAAATAACAGACCTAAAGAAGTAAAGTTTGTTTTTTGAAATCATAAATTTGAAAGTAAAAATTAACCAACAACTTGTTTTGAGTGATGGTACATTTTTGTCCCAGAAGCTAGGTTAGCTAATTTTAGTTCAGAATAATAAATGTGCTCATCTTAATAAATTAGCAGATGTTCTTTTCAGTTTTTTTTTTTTTTTTTTCCACAAGGGAATCTTGGCAGCATGGGCTCGGTGCTTTCAGGTTTTTCTTTGTTGGCTCTTGGTTGTATTTAAAAGTGACAATTACCAAATTAAGTCACCTGTTTTGAACCTTGCAGATTAGAACTCCGGCTTCATATTGTATTATTAGTGTGATCAGTAAGATCTATGAGCTTGCTACATGTTTACTCACAGATGGTGTTTTCATTCTTGGCTCTGATGCGTCCAAACGGCCCCTCAGTAACCACATAATTGTTGGTATCGCCAACCAGTTCTTCCATGACTTCCTTCCTGTCACAGCTGGTTTCTTCCATACCTGCCAAGAATTTAGATGTATGAATCTACATGACATCATGATTTATTTTCAAGGAAACTTGAGGAAGTAATTTAGCAGGGAAAATGTCACATCGGCAATTCTTCTTTGTGGTTTCTTTCCTTGGTTTTAGATGAAAGGTTGATCATAGGAGGAAAATAAATTTAATGACTAAAATAAAGCTACCTAAACCAACCTTGCCTTATGTGAAGAAGTAATTGCCCTGTAAACCTAAAAACTGGTTGTGTCACCTTGATGGCAACAACAGTGACCAAGAATTTGTCATAACTGGACAACAAAAAGGGTCTTTCTCACGGCTTCGGGGGAATTTTGCTGCTGTACTTCAAATAATCCTGCTGTAAAACTCAATAGAACTAGGGCTTGAACTGATGGCTGGACATTTTCCTTCGGGACTTTCTAAAAGAGAGCTGAAATGATAGTTCCAACTCTTATGGTAAGTCATCTAGGTCCTGAAGCAGCACAGCAGCACCAGACCACCACACTACCACCACCATATTTGGCTGTGGTTATGATATTCTGTTTTAGGAATGTAATGTTAGACTTGAAACAGATGCAATAGGACATATATTCCAAAAACTTCCATTTTTGTCTCATAAGTCCACAGAGTACTTTCCCAAATGTTAGGGGAACATCATGTGTTTTTTTAGTGAGCATGAGACTATGATTTTGTGAGATAGTGTTTTTGTTCTTGGAATACTCCCACAGAAAACATTTTTTTCTTATTGTTAAATTATGAATGCTGACCTTTACTTGAGGCAAGTGAGGCCTGCAGGGCTTTAGTCCATGTTCTAGGCTATTTTGCCAACTTTTGGACGAGTTGTTGATGATATAAGTTTGGTTGGCTGGCCCTCCTGAGTGTTCAACACCCATCCATATTATCTCTGTGGATAAGGGCTCTTTTTGAATAATGGCTTCATACAGACCTGACACTAATTAGGCTTGGGTGTAGCTAATGAGAGTGAATTCAGCTTTTCAAAATTATCATTAATGATAATTAATTCATGCTTTAACAAGGGAGGAGTTGTTTTTGTCACATAGGACCAGGTGAATATGAATAGGAGTATTGTGGGCTCTGTGCCGGTCTGTTGAGGTGAAGAGCAAGCTGACCTATAAGGCAAGGCTCTATGTTCACCAGTCAGTCTACGTTCCTACCCTGACCTATGCCCACAAACTCTGGGTAGTGACTGAAAGAACAAGATTGCAGATTCAGGCAGTTGAAATGAGTTTCCTCCGCTGGGTAGCTGGACTCTCCCTTAGAGATAGGGTGAGAAGTTCAGTTATCTGGAAAAGACTCGGAGTAGAACCACTACTCCTCCAGTTTTAGAGTCAGTGGAGGTGTTTCATGCTTCCTGGGCACCTCCCTATGAGGTTCTCCAGTGATGTCAGATTGGGAGGAAATCCTAGGGAAGACCAAGAACATGCTCGAGAAACTATGTCTCTTGGTTGGCCTGAGAAGGCCTTGGGGAACTCAAGAGCTGGAAGAGGTGGCTGTGGAAAGAGATGTCTGGACCTCCCTGCTCAAGCTGCTGCCCTCACAACGCAACTCCAGAACAAGCTGATGATGGATAGATGGCTGGATGGATTGAAGTTGGATAGACATTGTCCCCTTAATAAATGAAATCATCATTTAAAAACTGTGTTTTTGTATTTACTCAGGTTGTATTTTTCTGATGTTAAAAGTCTGTACACTGACCATATACAGTAAATACATGCAGGAGATCATCTGTCTGTCTTCATCACTACTTGGCTGTATGTAATGGTAACTGTGTCACTGTAAAAAGTCTGCTTCCACAAGCTGAGCACTTTCTAGGATTGCACAAAGTTTGAGTCAGTGTTTGGTAGGGCTGGTGGAAAAACAACTCCAAAATATTCAAAAAATCAATTAAGTTTGTGCTTTAGACCAATAGAATGAAGAAGGTTTAGCTACAAACATAAAAAAGGATCAGGATAAAAATAAAAAATAAACAAACAGAAGTTTCAGTTTGAGGGCAGCACGGTGGCACAACTGGTAGAGCTGCTGCCTCTCAGCGAGCAGGTCCCTGGTTCAAACCCCGGTCCAGGGGCCTTTCTGGGTGGAGTTTGCATGTTCTCTCCGTGCATGCGTGGGTTTTCTCCGGGTACTCCGGTTTCCTCCCACAGTCCAAAAACATGCATGTTAGGCTGATTGGTAACTCTAAATTGTCCCTAGGTGTGAGTGAGAGAGTGAATGGTTGTTTGTCTTGTTTGTCTCTATGTGGCCCTGTGATGGACTTGCGACCCGTCCAGGGTGTACCCCGCCCCTCGCACAGTGATTGCTGGACATGGGCACCAGCGACCCCCGTGACCCAAAATGGAATAAGCGGGTAAAGAAAATGGATGGATGGATGGATGGAAGTTTCAGTTTGAATCCGGGTCACGGCACCAACCGTTAAAAACGGGAGCTGGCTCGCTGCGGTCACCGGACCCGGAAACCCCCTCCAGCCCACGTCTCTCCCCCGGCTCGAACCTCCCTCAGAAGTGGCAACTCACAATATCAATAAATCAATGAAACGTCAATTAAGTTTTACCAATTGTATTAAATCAAGGTAGGAAAAGGTTACAGTTTACAGCGCTGGCCTCTCCGTTCTATGACGCGTTCACAAACCCGGAAGAGCCCCGATGTCCCATGTCATTACTCATTTATAGGGTCCTAGACTCCTCCTTCACAGAAAGGGTGCTCAACCTGTCAGTGTGTGAGGGGGTGTGACTAAGTGCGATCTCAATGGATCTTATGTAGTTCTGATGTGTTAAGAAATATGAGACGGTGCTTCAAAAGCCTTTCTACGTGATGTGGCAAGCATATTAAACTCTATTCCTTGACAGATATTGAATCCCAGGGAGACTTTTTTTAGAGTTGCTGGCCCAGTTTAACCCAGTCAGAACTGGGTCATAATTCCATTATAATCCCGTCTTTGAGCAGATCAAAACCATAGGACCAGTCTAAAAATATCTTAACACTTTCCAAGAACTTGACTTCTCCAGACTCTTTGCTCCTTCAACATGCAACTTGAAAATAAACACAAACTCCTCATACACATTCCTCTGGGAGTTTTAGGAAATGTGGAAACTGTTTTTAACATGAGAAAAACTGCTTATGTCAAAATATCACATGAAATCCTCACAAACATAACCTCACATCAGAATTCCAGGACTGTTTACACCTAACAGTTTTTATCTTTTTATTTGTTAACCTTTATTCAACCAGGCAAATCCCACAGAGCACAGATCTCTTTTGCAAGAAGACCTGAAGGCAGCCTAACATGCATGTTTTGGACTGTGGGAGGAAACCAGAGTACTCAGACAACACAATATGAAATCTAAAATGACTAATGTCTCAGTTTACAGCCATAAAACAAACAACAAAAAAAATGCATCCAACAGGGGTCATATGAAACTTATATCACCCAGAATGATTTGTGTTACCATGATCAGCAACAATAATGATGTTCAGACAGCGGTGGAGGTCAATCTGCTTCAGGCCATTCATGAGCTGACCCATTATCTTGTCCACAGCCTGGATGGATGAAATAACCTGGGGGAAACACGTGAAACAAAGTTTCAGTAGCTGCGGCCACACAGAACATGATTAGAAAGATAATGTGATGGTGTATATAGGAAAACCCCACATTATTTTTATCGTAGAGTGGTTAGGGTCTTTGTTTTCCTGTCTCACAAGAGAAAGGGTTTTGGTTGCATTTATGGAGAGAGAAGATGTGAGTATCAGGCTTGGATGAAGCCAGGAGCATTAAGCCTGACACTGTATTTAGTTACTTTCCTTCTAATTCACCTACATGCATGCAACCAAAACCTGTCTCTTGTGAGCCAGGCAAACAAAGACACTAACCATCCTCCAATGAAAGGAGTTTAACATTACCTTCTATATCAAATGAGGTTTTATTTTCTATTTCAGCATGATGTATTTCTCATTAAAGTTGGCTCTCTTTTTATTGAATGCTAAATGGACTGTACTTGTAGCACCTATCTGTCTTATCAAGATACTCAAAGCGCTTTACAACACAATTTGTGCCCTCATTTGACCATTCTTACAGCACTCTATTAGATCTATACAAAAGAATAATCAGTGCTTTAGATCACATTTATACACTGATGGGACACATCAGAGACAATGTGGGGTTCAGTGTCGTGTCCAGGGACACTCAGCATGTGACTATTGGTGGAACTGAACCCCCAACTCTCCCATTGGAGGAAGACTGCTCTAACCACGCAGCCATAGCTGCCCCTGAACTGAAATGCGACATGATAAAATGGATGTCGAGACAGGAAACTGCTGCAGTTTTTAGGGATTGCACACATCTGGATAAGCACATCCAGTAATTATCTTGGTCAAACAACCTCTCAGGCTTTTCCTTTAGAAAACTGCAGGGACGTTTTTTTTAAACAAGTCATTGCCTGGAAGACAAAATTCAAGGATGTTGTGAAAGTAAAACCTTTTTAACAAAAGCACCCAGAGTAAGTGTCATCCACCATGATGCTGTTATTACACAGAACACTTTCTCCTAAAGGCATGACACACACAGACAGGTTTAGTATGTTGTGACACACACTCAAAACAAAAAACCCCAGGAACCATAGTTCACAAAGATGCACTTTCAGTTAAAGCACTTCCGTCTCTTTCAATTTCTCAGGCCAAACTAAGTTTCATTATTATGACTGGCTTGGAGGAGAAAGGAAACAATAATATTTTCTCTCTGGCTTTCAGAATGACGTATATCCGCTGATATCTTTAGATGTGTTGAGAAGCTGCAGTCTTTTTAAAAAAAGGATTAAAAGAATGAACAATGACTTGGCTGTGGAAACAGAAGACTTCCACAGAGTAGCCTGAAATCAACTGTGAGAACTTGTTCTTTCGTTTTGTGTAAATGATGTAATCTTGTGCAAGTGTGCATATTACACATATTTAACTTGAATTATTGGCTGACAGAAAAAAAAAAATTACTGAAAGGGAAAAGAAGTTGTAAAGAAAATAAACTAACATGTTTGTACCATCCTCTTTCTTGGTCCCTGATTTTTATCCTTAAGGGTTGCAAATTGAGTTTTATATCTAATTTTGTAGCTGCAGGTTAGATTATTTTATTTGGTACAAGTTTCAGGAACTGCTGAACCAACAGGATGGTGACGAATGAAACAGTTTGTTTTACATTTATCTTACTTCTAACCTACAAAGCCCTCAACATCCTAGCTCCATCTTACATTACAGATCGTATTGTTCCATATTTTCCTAACAGAGCACTTGGCTCTCAGACTGCAGGTTTACTTGTGGTTCCTAGAGTTTCCAAAAGCAGAATGGGAGGCAGCGTTTTCAGTTATTATTCATTCATTAATTCATTCATTTAACCTTTATTTAAACAGATAAATCACACTGAGCCTCAAAGACTCATTTACAAGTGAGATCTGTTCGGACAGACAATAAAGTGGTGAAAATTACAACTGAGGTTTTGGAGGCGAACAAAAGTTCCTAGCATGCTCTTAATCTTTGGCTGAAGATTAAAAGCATGAAAATGAAAAAAAAAAAAACCCAACTTGTATAATGATGCTGACATTCTGTGAGGGTGTGTGTCGAGGGGGGGGGGGGGGGGGGGCGGGGGGGGGGGGGGGGTGCAAGGGTGGTGAGCATGTCCAGAGACAACACACAGAGGCACTGCAAGATTTCAGATAGGAGTGATAAATCACTCAAGTTAACATAGTTCCCTCTGGAGAGTTCCGTACACTCTCGGGGGGTGCCGAGGACGGCCAAGGACAACGTCAGATAGAATCCAAAGAGTCCTTAAACGATGACAGAATGTTTATTCAGCTGGGCCTCTCTGATTGGTCCGCAGACTTCCTCGGTGGGAAAGGGGGGATGGGCAGAGCATCGAGGTTTACAGAGCTTCCAGGTGAATTAAGATAAGGTGGCTTGTCAAGGCCAGTCAGGGAGCCAGATTCAGATAAACACAATTGTTTTGGGGACAGGCAGAACTTTACTGATTATGTCTACCTTTTGTCTATCATGCTCCTCTTTTGTGGAATCAATTTCCAGTTTCTGTCCGTGAGGCTGACACATTGCCTCTAAGACTAGACTTAAGGTTTTCCTTTTTGATAAATCCTATAGTTAGGGTTGGCTTGAGTTTCCTGAGCTATCCCTTAGTTATGCTGCTATAGGCTTAGACTGCTGGAGGACAAACTGACCACATTTCTTCACTCTGCTGCTGTCTTTACTTTATTCAACCTGTGTTGTATTTGTAATTATTTATATCCTTAAAATGTGTTTTTTGTTGTAACGTATAGGCGCACTTAAAATCTTGTAATTTTCTTAAAAATCCACAGTGAGCCTTATAATCAGGTGCACCTTTAGTATTAACTCTGGCTGTGCATACTTACCTCAAATTGATTTTAAGTGGTTATTGTGAATTTGTTGAATAAAGTTTGACTTATCTGACTGTTTTGTTTCACTTAATATGGTACTTCCATCACGAAGACATCAAAACGTCAGTAAAATTCTGAAACCACTTTAAGATAAAGGTCAATCCAAATTCCAAATATCTTTGTTTAATTTTACCCATATAAATCTGAATTCTTTCAGTATTAGTCATGATGAAACACCATCTGCTTGGCAGACCTTTATTCTGCAGTGAAATACCAACCGACTCCAGAAATATTTGCTGTTTGAACAAACTTTGTGTCTCACTGAAGTCTGCCTCTTCCCTTAAATTCACTCAGTGTAAACTTCAATTATCCCTCTTTCAGTTTCTAAATTGCTTTTGTTTATCCAAAGCCACTTTAAGGTCTTCCATTTTCGTGCAAGAGTCTAATTTTTCAGCGTATTTAACGTAAACTGTCTTGAAGTCTATATGTGCATGACTCAGAGAGGGTTGTAGTGAAGCTCAGTGACATCATCATTAATCAGATGGACATTAAACTATATTGTTTTTGTGAAGCCTACATTTTTATCAACAATCACTGAAATGTGTGCAACATACAGTTAAACAGGCTGCTCAGTCAGCAAAGTCATGCTTTTTGGACTCTTTCTTTCTACTGTTTGAGTTGGCACTATTATTTATTTATTAGTTGTACTTTTCTACTTGTTTTTGAATTGGAGTTGAAATAAAATTCCTCCTTTCTCTTGAAATATGAACTAATCAAACCAATGGTTAACTTTGAGAGGTCAATATGTTTCTTCTACCTTTTCTTTTGGCTGATCCCCGTCTGTCACCACCGAGATTAAACTGCCTTAACACTTTTAAAATATAAAAATATCTGGACTGTAATTTGTTGACTATTTCTGCATAAAAAGTAAAAAAAAAATTGAAATAAAAAGGTTGATCCCTGTTAAAGCAAAAAAATACACACAATCATGTCATCTGGACAGATTCTTCTTGGAAGAAACGTTTTGTCTTTCATCCAACAGACTTTGTCAGTCTGAGGTAGAGCTGTCATTTCTAACCCGAACCCGGAGGCTGACGATCCAAAAATATGGCAACATGTCTTGTCATACAATTATCAGTCACACGTGGCCATTTGGCCGCACGCTGACCGGCCTTGAAAGAGGTAAAAAAAAAGTTCAGTTAAGCTTCAGATGGACTACTGCCAGGCAGTGATCCATCAAAGCCCAAATGGACGTTCATTCAGCCGCTGCACTCAGAGGACGCGCGCGGCCGAAGACCCAAACAGGTGAGATCCCAAAATGTCCGATATGTCAGAGCAGGGTCCATGTCTGAATAATGCAGAAGCAGGGATTTAATGCACTTTGATGGCCATGAAAGGACGAACACCCCCTCAGCTCTGATCTTCTGTCCCTCAGCCGTGCGTGTCCGCCGACTGTTAATAACTATATAAGAAGTCAAAGCTTCATAGCTTAACTAAATATGTCTGGGGTGGGGGAGTTCGGGTTCGGACCTGTAATTACTGTTAATTCATTGGGTCGGGTGGGGTTCGGAAATGATGGCTACGGGCCGGGTCGGATTTTTTCGGTCCGAATGCAACTCTAGGCTGAGGCCTGCCAACAAGAACGGTTGTACAAATAGCACCTTCTTGACGTGTTTCAAGCCAGCCTGCTGTGGAATTCACAGAAACTGGTTTACACATGCAGAAAGTGGACCATAAGTCTAACAACAGATCAGCAGTGCATAACAATCGTTATAGGCAAGATGGCCGCTTACTTCTCACCAAACCAGCCTGAGGACAACCTGGCCAAAATTATAAAATGAATAAAAAACAAGTATGCTCAATTTTTTAATTCATTTATTTATTTACCATTTTGGCCAGGTTGTCCTCAGGCTGGATTGATGAGTAGTAAGGGCCATCTTGCCTATAATGATTGTTATGCACTGATGATCTGTTCTTTGACTTATGGTTCACTTTCTGCATGTGTAACGGGATTCCACAGCAGGCTGGCTTGAAACACAATATAATACATAATAATAATAATAAAAAATAGTTGTCTGTTAATGCAACATAATAAACACAATAAGTGCTTCATTTTCGTATGTTTGATAACACTAAGCTCTGGTCACAGCTCATCAGCTACAAACAGGATAATTAACTTGAAGGACAGTAAAATAATGACAGAGTTATACTTCCTCATCATGGTGTAATAAAGTGAGGTGAACTCACCCCTCCACTGACAGGACCAAAGCTGTGCCCAGATTTATCAGGCTCCTCCAAATACAAGGTGTAGAAATCTGGTCTGAGGGGAAGATTTAATTTTCAATATGAAAACATAAATATCACTTTTAATTAAACATTTTTAGGATAAAAATCTGAAGGTAATGGACCGACCTTTCATTGTCTGGCAGCTGCAGCCACTTTAGGACAGTAAATACTCTTTCCTCAAATGGCACTTTACTTTGCAAAACAAACAAACAAAAAATCCAGATTGTCATTTTCTTTTAATTCTGACTACTGTTTTTAAATTTTATTTTAGGTTTTCTTAATTAAAAAAAAAAATTCTATAGTCTGTTTCGGTTTCCATTTCCTTTAGCTCTGCCCTCACACCTAATCTGAGTTTGTAAATTATCAGTTCAGATAACAGAATGTAACCTCCTTCAGTATAAACTTTCCTTCATTTTATCCATTTCAGCTGTGTTGTCACATAAAATCTGGGTTTTATCATCTTTACCATGCTGTCTGCCGCAGTCTGGTACTTAGTCTGCATTTGGTGTATTTCGCAACATCAACACACACACCAAGCACTTCTTTGAAAGTTCACTACCAAAGTTCATGAAAATGTTCAAGCAGTTTATTTAAACACACTGACCCATTGAATGATAAATGATGAGCTTCAGTGTTGCGGTTGACTTTGGAATGACTAAACTTGACTCAAAATCATATTTTCTTAAGGGAAAAATACCCCGGGGTAACTCTGGTCTTTTGTTAATAGTTAATAGTTAATTTGGCATAATCAGTACCAAGTATTTCCACTGAAATGAGCCCAGACAGGTACTCACTCTCCTGACTTGTTTATTTTGTGACATAACCGCACACAAGCTATGTGTCATGTTTGCATGTCGGCCATCATCAAAAGTATGTGAAATAATGCATAAAAGCTAATTCAAATATATTTTATTAACCTTAAGGATGTAGTTTTCTAATCAATTAAGAAAATACTCAACTAATGCTTATAATAGTATATATAGTTAAAGAACATTTTATTATCCAAACCAACCAATGGATCTGGATGGTTGACCAAAAACACAAACCATGACTTCCAGTTAGTTTTATAGATGTTTGGGAAATAACTCAAATTAGAGAGATTGCATTTCCTGCGAAAATACAGTGTGAATGCTTATTGCTGACGAACTTGCTAAAAAACAGAGTAAATTAGCTAAAAACATGCTGAAATATAGCTGAAATAGAAGAACAAGCTTAAGTTGGCAGAAGAAAGCAGAACACATTTGCTGAACTATATTTAAATAAAAAGAAATGAGAACAGAAATTGAGAAATTAGCTAAAAAGGTGGAAATTAGCACCCAAAAATACCTGAAAAGGCAGAAAGAAGCTTAAGCTGCTAGAAGGAAGTGAAAGGAATTTTTAAAAAAGTGGAATTAGCTGAAAAAGCTAAATAGTAGCTGAAAAAACTAGCAGAAATAACCAGAAAGGCACATAACAATATGAAATTATCAGAAAGAAGTTAATTAAGCTGAAAGTAGCAGAAATTACCACAATAAAAATGAATTTATCTGAAAACAGCTGAAGTTAGCTACAAAAATGCTAAAAAAAAATGTAGCTGAAAAAGTAGAACAAGCTTAAATTAGCAGAAGAAAGTGGAGAGAGCACATTTCTGCCCAATTAGGCTGAAAGAAGCAGAAATGAGCAAAAAAAAAAAAGTGGAACTTATCAGAAAAAAGTTGAAATTAGCAAAAAAATACAGTTGAAAAGTGCTGATAGTAAAAAAAGCCGAAAGAGGTTTAAATTACCAGAAGAAAGTGGAGAGAGCACATTTTTGCTGAATTATGCTGAAAAAAACTTGAAATGCATGCAAAAAATAAATTAACTGAAAAATATAAAATTAGCATAAAACAGCTAAATGGCAGCTGAAATAGCTGAAACTTGCACAGATAAGCTGAAAGGAGCATAAGCTGAAATTAAAAATAAATTAGAAGAAGCACAAAAATCTAGTTAGCAGAAAGAATCTGCAAGGATCACAAAATAGCTGAAACTAGCTGAATTATTATTATTATTTTTAATTTGCTCAAGCTGTACCAGAGCAAAATGTGGAAGGAGCAGTAAAAGGTTGTAAACAGATGTAAAGATCTGAAGGATGTAAAATGAGCTTAATTCATTTTCTATGAGAAAAACAGTGGCAGAAAAGGCCAAATATTCCAAACAGCTAAAGCTGCACTAATACCAAAAGTCATAGCAGGATTGTCCTGAAAGAGCTGAATGTTTTGAGTTGTGATTTGTTGAGAAAGTTTGAAAACTGCAGGAGAAGAATCAAGCTGAAAAATGTACGGAAGATAAATGGATCACAATAGTGTGAATGCGTTCATAAACGTTCACAAAATTACCAAGATATAACCCTTCCAATGTTGGTGTTAGTCTTTATGTTTGATAAGCTCACTGCATTTTAAGTTTGAGTTATAATATACCATCTGTATTAAGGTGCTTCTTTAATACAGTTCATTCTTCCAGCTTTCTGTTGAAACAAAACCAAAATTTATTGCAAAAACGTGCGTGCTTGTACACAAGGAATGCCCTATCTCATTTAGACAAATAAGCTGCTCATCAAGATGAACTATCGAGGTCATAGCATGTTGCTTAGAGCGTTAAGCGCATAACAATCTGCGTCAATGGCTGTTATCTCTAGCAAAAATTGCAATAAACATGTGCTGAGTCAGCGATAGCTCCACTGTAAAACAATAAAATAAAATGCCAGTAAAGAGTGCTGCAAGAAAAATGCGCAATTTTTGCTAAAGCCCATTTCAGTAACAAGTAAGCATCACACACTGATAAGTCTTAATCTGCTTGACAGTGAGATAAAGGAAAGTTCTTGTTATAACTGCATACCTGAAATTCTTTCTATCCCACGACTTTATGACGAGCTCCATGAATCTTCCAGATATTTATCACTAGACTGCACTCTTGTTGATCTTGTGTGGCAAACTGAAATTTGTGGTTTGGCTGAAACGTAGAGTACCGAGTAAAAACTATCCTGATGCATGCTGAATAATCCAGGTGGAAAAAAAATCTAACAAGGTTGAGTCAGTTCATCCAGAGGACCTGACTCAACCTTGTTAGATTTGTAAAAACTACTTGAGAGTGGCTAAAGAGTTTACCGGTAGAGAAAATCTATATTTTCAAGGAATAAAAAAGTACCTTTTCCAAAACTAAGACATTACTGCACACTAGAAACTACTAGAATATTCTTATAACTCAATTGTTGAGTTATTGCTGTTGCGTCATAGTTTGCGTTGGTTACACCAAATAGTTTGAGCTGGTGGTTGGGTTAGCGCTGAGCTGCGGCACACTTCTAACGCCGTCGTGTTAAACCAGACGTTGACTGAGTTTGATCCGACTGGAACTCTACTTTTTTGTACCAACACACAGGCTCCATTTTATTTTATTTTTTTAATGATACCTGCACAACTGCTTTCTTGAAAATTTCAGGGACAGCATCAGACAATGAACTCCTAATAAGAACTGCAAGGATAGATGACAGGGACATGATTACTGGGGGAACCTGATGGTTTGAACTGACCAACCATCAAGATAAAGTGACTTGAATGTCCTTTAGGCAGCAGAAGGTGGAGCTGCAATTGAGCAATAGAGGTCCTAAAAATGGAACCTTATTAATAATAAAAGAAAAGAAGTGAAGGAAATGTTCACAGAAAGCTGAAGAAGCCTCAATAATGAGCCTAAGGGGCACAAAGAGCTGACTCAAAAGCATTGTTGGATTATAGCGGTTTAGCCTCCCTAGTTGCAGATGTGGTGCTGATTATAAAGCAAGCTGACCCACTTCTTACTGGACTTTGGAATTTCTCAAAGGCGACTTCAGCTGCTAAAGGAAGGAAATGAAGCCTTAGCACAGCTCAGTGTGGGTAAGGGGTTACCCCAGGCTTGATGCCTCAGTGCCAGAAACAACACAAGGACTTCATGGTTGTATATCGATATGGAACAGAGCCCTCGTTGTTTAGGCTGTAAACGCATCACCATTGCTGGTCTGATTCAAAGTGGAACAAAAACAACTCAGGCTAAAGGATTTCTTCAATACATCAAGATAACTGCATGAAGGCTGTGAAGTCTGAAACAGACCTTTCTTACCCCCTGCAACAATGAGATGAAATCAAGGACATTAAAGTTCAGTAACCTACAGTATCGACACTATATCATCGGTTTAAAAAAAGGTCACAGTTCTAACAATGTTCTGTGCAGAATTCCAAAATCCTTTGTTGCATCTTACCCATCATAAGGTTTGTAGATGTTGGGAAAACTTTCATTGATTTTAACGTCTGATCCAGGCCAGAAGAAAGTCCCAGACTTCAGACCTTGGTACCGTGCCGTGTGCCAAACCTGCCAAAACAAACTGGAAACTAAATCCTCAATTTAAAATAATAATAATCAACAATCAGCTTTTTATGAATGAAAACAACATTTTACATTTATTGTGGATAACTTTATGTCAAACAATTTTTTTTTTTTAAATCTGAGCCAAAGAAGATAATTTTATACAGGAAAACTTCACATCAGAAGTATTAATGTATGTCTCTGGAAGTCAGACTGAGTAAAGAGCAGAACTCACGGGTTGCCCGAGGTACCAGGCGGGGTTGTTTTTCTCAGGACTGGACAGGCTGAAGCTAGCATTGAACACGGGGTCGTACATGTTGTTGTCAATCAAACCATTGGACTCTGGATACAGGCCCTGAGGGACGAACCAAACAAAGTGAAGAACAGATTTTTGATTATCATCCACTTCATTAAAAAACCTTTGAAATCAGTTTTAGAATAAATATGGACTGATGATTGATTTTCTTCAACAGTGACTCATATTAAAATTTGGTAACTGCTTATTGTTTTCCTGCATTTCCAGCAAAAATGTGTGTTTTCAGAAAGCTGTTGGTTTAACAAATGAACAATGCCTTATGTTATTGCCTCTCTTTAATTCATTTTTTCTTATAGTGTGAATGCTTATGAAGAATAATGAAAACATTCAGCTCTTTCAGGACAATCTATGACTTTAGGTATTGGTGCTACTTTAGCTTTTGGAAATATTTTGCCTTTTCTGCCACTTTATTTTTTCCTCATAGAAAATGAATGGTGCTCATTTTACATCCTTCAAATCTTTAGATCTGTTTACAACCTTTTACTGCTCCTTTCACATGTTCTTCTGGTTCAGCTTGTTTCAACTTCCTTCTGCAAATTTAAACTTTTTTAGCTACTTTCAGCTGTTTCTTTCAGCTGTTTTGTGCTTCTTTCAGATTCTTTCTGCTAACTACAACATTTCTGTGCTTCTTCTAACTTCTTTCTGCTGATTTCAGCTTGTCATGCTCCTTTCAGCTTATTTTTGCAAGTTTCAGCTATTTCAGCTATTATTCAGCTGCTAATGCTAATTTTAGCATTTCAGCTAATTCCACATTTTTTGCACTCGCTTAAACTTTTTCCAGCCTAATTCAGCAACAATGTTCTTGTTTCACTTACTACTGTTACTTGTAGCTTATTTCTGTTTTTTTGTTTTTAGTTTTTTTTTTAGCTTTTATTCAGCTTTTGTTTGTGTATGTGTGCAAATTTCTGCTTTTTTCAGATAGTTTTCACTTTTAGGTGCTAATTGCTATTTTTTTTCTTCCCAATTGGGCATAAATGTGCTCTCTAAACTTACTTCTTTTTCTTTTTTTTTACCTACAATTCAGCTGTTTTTTTTGTTTGTTTTTTTTTGCTAATTTCAACCTTTTCAGATAATTTTCACTTTTTGTACTTATTTGTGGGACACTGTGTCCCACATCTTTAACCTTTCCATAAGCCAAAACTTCATCCCAGACACTTGGAAAACAGCCTTTGTTGGTCCTTTGCTGAAGGGAGGTGACCCCACCTCACTTAACAACTATCGACCAATCTCTAAACTCTGCATTTTAGCCAAGGTTCTAGAAAAACTGATAAACTCTCAAATCAAAAATTACCTGGACTCATTTAACATCTTACCTCCACATCAATCTGGTTTCAGGAAACAACACAGCACAACCACTGCTTCACTGAAGGTTCTTAATAACGTTGTTGAAGCACTGGATGCTAAGGATTATTGTGCTGCACTTTTCTTAGACCTGTCTAAAGACTCTGACTCTGTGGATCAGAACATCTTGTGTCATAAACTCTCAGAAATCGGTTTCTCAGATCACACCATTGGTTGGTTCTCTAACTATCTTTCAGACAATGTGTTCAACATAATGATACTTCCTTCAGTTATCTAACAGTCAACAATGGTGTACCACAAGGCTCAGTCTTAGGACCCACCCTCTTCCCAGTCTACAGTACATAGGTAATGTAGGTCAGAGCATCCTTAATGCATCCATACATTTCTATGCTGATGACACAGTTGTTTATTGTCGAGCTAAAACTGTTGCTAAGGCTTTCCAGCTTTTGCAATCCACATTTGACATCATCCAGTCTGATTTGTTCCGCCTCAAACTTGTCCTAAATGCCGATAAAACCAAAAGGATGCTTTTTTCAAACAGGATATCGGTCCCTGCAGTTCTTCCTCTGATTTTATCCTCAAATGGTGTCCCCATTGAGTTTGTTGATTCCTATAAATATTTGGGTATCTTGGTCGACTCGCATCTCTCTTTTAAGCTCCATGTGGAAAACTTGGTAAAGAAACTGAAAGTTAAACTGGGTTTCTTTTTCAGAAACAGATCCTGTCTAACTCTGAATGCTAGAAAACTCCTCGTATCTGTGACTTTCCTTCCCTCCATTGATTAAGGTGACATTATTTACATGAAAACTCCTACAAGAACCCTGCAGAAGTTGGATGTTGTCTATCATGGGGCACTAAGATTCATAACTGGCTGTGATTATCGTATCCACCACTGCACCCAGTATTCACTGGTTAACTGGTCATCATTAATTTCACACAGACCCTCTCACTGGTACATTTTCATCTTTAAATCACTTCTTGGTCTGTTGCCTTCATACATCTCCTCCTACATGTCTCTGCGTGAGTGCAGTTACAGCGTGCGCTCTCAGGACATTATTACCTGCAGTGTTACCTCAGTGCGGCCTGAACTTGGCAAAAGGGCCTTCTCCTACTCCGCTCCTGTTTCCTGGAATACCTTACAAAAAGATCTGAAGCTCTCGACCTTGACCTCTCTAAGTGGCTTTAAGAATCTGTTGGACTGGCAGGGACCAATGCAGACATGTTCCTGTTTTTAGTTTTCTACATTCGCCTTAGAATCTAGCTGTTTTTTGCTACTTTTTTACCATCTTTTTGTAATTTGTAAAAAAAAAAAAAATCTGCATGCCTCTTTTATGATTGTCTATTGTTGTCCTTGTTGTACACTGTTGTCATCATTCTTTGTTGAAATCAGGTCTCTCTTGTAAATGAGTCCTTGAGGCTCAATAATAATAATTAGCTTAACTGTCTAAATAAAGGTTGAATTAAATTTGTGCTTCTTTCATCCTGATTGGGCACAATTGTGCTCTCTCCACTTCCATCTGGTAAGTTAGGCTTTTTTTCTGTCTTTTCAGCTACTTTTCAGCTATTTATTTTTAATTTCATGCCTTTTTTTATTTACTAATTTTTGTGCTCATTTCTGCTCATTTAAACCACAAATACTTCAACACTCTGGTACCCGCAAATACCAGGTATGTGTTCTTTCTGCTTTCTTTTGCTAACTTACGCTTGTTCTTCCATTTCAGCTACGTTTCAGCATGTTTTTAGCTAATTTCAGCTGTTTTTCAGCATGTTCTTCAGCAATAAGCATTCACACTTCATTTTTGCTGGAATTGCGATTTCTCTAGTTATTATTTTTTGCAACAAGTTCCCAGAAAATCTAGGGAATTTTCTGACCAGTGCCGAGTAATTTTAACTAAATCTTATCAAAACTTTTAAAAGGTATCATAACTGCCAACTAACCATGAGTCATTGCACTTTGCATACAATGCAGAATAAAACAAAGAATTTTGCAATTTCTAACTTATTTTATTCGCAAATCTTGAGTACTTCCTTGTATTTATCTCTGATTTACTTTTAGAGTGCCAGCTCAGCAGAAATATGAATTGTTTGATGCCATTATTGATTGATGCCATCGTTTAAAAAACCCACTACTATTCGGTGGCTTTCAACACCTGATGATCTGTGTTTTGAACCTGTACGCTCCACACTCATTTGTCATCATTATCTGCATCATTTTTATGTCTATATTCTGATTTACTTCATTTTGTATATTGCTTTGTGTGTTACCTGTTGTTCTGTCTGTACAGCACTTTGGTTGCCCTTGTCGCTGTTTTAAGTGCTCTATAAATAAAATGGTATGGTATGGTATTACCGTAACAATCGTGTAGTGATTAGGAAAAGTCTTGCTTGGAAATGCTGCCTGCATGAACGGAACTGACGTTCCACATTTTCCTGCAAAAGACAAAAACAGCTTCTTGACCTTGAGACCTTCCTTGGAATAAAACGTGCACTTTGTGTATCATTGGCAACTGACCAACACTTGTCATAACTATTCACACATGAAGGAAAAAATGTGATAACTGGTACAATTTGATAAAGAACATTCAAGAGATTCAGTGGAAAATCCAGTTGAAACAAGCCTAAAGGTTGCTGCCTAGTTAGAAATCAGGGTCTATTCATCAGAAGAGTGCAAAATTATGATTATGAACCCCCCTTCACAGCCTTTAAAGAGACAGTTTGGTCGTCTTTGAAGCGATGTTCTGTCAAATATTATCAATCATTAAAAATTGTGACCTAGAGCATGAACACATTTCTACCTCCAGGTCAAGCCAAACAACGTTCTACTCTCTGCACACATGCATTGTGTGGGTGTTAGACTCAATCTAAACACATCATTACATGTAAAGTCTAAATGTTTAATATTAGCTAAAGCAGAATTCTCTCACACTGTTGTTTTTGAGAAAATCGTTTTACTAACTATAAATATGACGTAAAACAAGATTTCATTGGGTAGCCGTTAGTTAGCTTTGCCTAAAGGAAGACTTCTTTCATAACCTGTCTCCTGTGATAGATCCCACATACATGATGAAGTATTATCAGCAACTATTTGACAAAACTTCACTTTAAAATAACTGTATCCCTTCTGTTCATTTTAGATTGAAAAGTCCTTTAAAGAGAAAAGGGGATGCTCATCGTAAACAACAAGGGATGAGCACTTTAATTTTCAACGCGTAATTTGTTTTCCCGGCAATAAAATCAACAAGATCAGAAGAACCAAACAAAACGTGGTTCACATTAACTGAGTTTATCCAAAACAGGGACGAGAGTGCTCCACGACTGCAAGTACTCCGCCCTCAGTCCATCCAGGGAGACGAGGATCAGCGGCTGACGCTTGAAGCTGTAAAGAAAACAAAGTCAGACAGGAAGAGATGCACGAGCTAGAAATGGACATAAACATACATAGAGTTCCTGTCATTGCAGAGAAGGAGCTTTAACAAGGCATGTGCAGGGTTGACTTTAAAATTCTGATTATTCCTGTTTAAAACATGAAATGTGAGCAATGTCAAACAACAACTTCAAGCAACAACAACAACAAAACATAGCATTGCACATTTATGATTTGTAACAAGTTCTTCAGATCCTGAAACGGTTTGGCTGAGATTGTAAAAAACTTATTTTCTAAATGGGTAAAAATAAAATAACATAGATGCCCTTTGCACTCCTTACCTGGCTGGGCATTTGGGGGTTGACAGGTCCTCGCAGACGTCCTCCACCCACTCCTTCTCTTCTACAGCAAAGGAATACAGAGATCATTGAGCAGATGCGGTGTTGTAATACTACATATCGTTCGTTGTCTAGATAACTGAAAATTAATAAGAAACATGTGGGCAGGTAGGGAAGGTCAAAGTGGACCGGCACTTTGCTTTAACTCTGGATAATTGGGACTTTCTCAACTCTTCTACACAAAAAAATGCCCCAACAGATAAACTATGAATCCTTGTGGTGGTGTACGAAGCCAGGTGTTTCCCATTTATCTTGAAATGTCTTGAAATGAAAAGTCTCTCTTGAAAATGAGTTATTGTGGCTCAGTGAGACTATCTGTATAAATAAAGGGTACATGAAAAAAAAAAAAAACATTTTGCAGTGTTCCTGTCCCCCACACAGGCAGATTTGATTGTTCTTCCATGTATCATGTCTGCTCCTCTGCCATATGGGGTACCCCAGGGCTCAATTTTAGGGTCTTTGTTTTTGTCTTTATATCTACTTCCTCTAGAATTGATTTTTACAAAACACACATCTACTTTCATTGCTACGATGATGATTGCCAAATCAACGTACCTTTAAGGTGAGTTGATGCTTGGTCCATTAAACCTCTTTTATTGTGTCTCGAGGATCTTAAAGCTTGGATGGCCCTAAACTTCCTGCATTTTAATGAAAAAAGACTGAGGAACTTGTTTTTTGACCTATTGGAGCATGTCCGAGCCCTCCAGTTGACTTAGACCCCCTGGCAATGTATGTAAAATCCACAAATACAAACATTGGTTTTAAGATGCACTTTTAATATCTTGCAAAAAGATCCGAAGCTCTCGACCTTGACCTGTCTAAGTGGCTTTAAACATATTTTAAGTTCCTGGCAAAAACCAATGCAGACATGTTCCTGTTTGTGTTTTGTTTTTTCTCACTGGCTCTGTAACGAGGTGCACGCCTTTCTTCCCGCTCCCTGTTCTCCTCCTGCTTTTTTGCTTTCTGTCTATGTATCGGAGCAGCTCCTATTTTTACACAACTTCAGAAATGAAAACTCCTGGGAAATGTGTAAACTAAGGAAAAGCTTTGTCTAGTTCATCTCATTCTTCATTTTATATTTACAGATATAAAAGAGCTCAATCTCTTATAATAGCAAAATAAGGCTTTTCACAATATCTTCAAGGAAATCGATCAATTTTTATTTGGTCTATTCTGTTTTAATAGTGGTGTACCCATGCAAACTGTCAATACTGTCAAAAAGTCCCTTTCTCCTCGGAGACTAAATAAAACCTACAAGGTTTTTAAGTAGAAGCAGTATGTCAAGTCAAGTCAAATGTATTTATAAATGACATTTAAAACAGCAACTGTTACCAAAGTGATTAAAAATAAAACCACAGTATCAAGTAAAAAATAAGATACAGAAGCAGTATGTGGTAAAAAACCAAAGAAACAAAAAAACCTAGAGTACCCCCACCTCTGCAGATGATGTATTGATTTCCATCTGAAAGATTTACCACTTTCAGATTGAGTTTGCTTTAATTTTTAATTCTTGTTTTGTTTAATGGCAGTACCAGCTGGATGCCAGCTGAACCGTTGTTGGTTCTCCATCCATCCATCCATTATCTTTACCCGTTTATTCCATTTTGGGTCACGGGGGTCGCTGGTGCCCATGTCCAGCAATCACTGTGCGAGGGGCGGGGTACACCCTGGACGGGTCGCAAGTCCATCACAGGGCCACATAGAGACAAACGAGACAAACAACCATTCACTCTCTCACTCACACCTAGGGACAATTTAGAGTTACCAATCAGCCTAACATGCATGTTTTTGGTCTGTGGGAGGAAACCGGAGCACCCGGAGAAAACCCATGCATGCACGGAGAGAACATGCAAACTCCACCCAGAAAGGCCCCTGGACCGGGGTTTGAACCAAGGACCTTCTCGCTGAGAGGCAGCAGCTCTACCAGTTGCGCCACCGTGCTGCCGTTGTTGGTTCTGATTTTGGTTATTTTGGCTACTATTTAATTTGGTCAAAAATTGCAAAACAAAATGATCTTGGTACTCCAACCATGTTCAGTCAGGTCATCTGGACAGTTTTTTTTGTTGTTGTTGCGAGACGCTTCACCCTCCATTTGAAGGGCTTCATCAGTCTTAGGAGTCACAAACAAACTGTTTTCTCCACTAAGCAGTACATTCCTACAGTCGACCAACCAGCTTCCTGGTGATAAGATGGTTTCTGGGGGCTGCACTCTCCCCCGTCAACTCCTCCCAAGCTGCCACAGCCAAAGTGGTTCAAAACACCAAAGTTCATGCTCAATGATCCAGGTTAAAATAACAACAATGTTCAGTCAGGTCTTCTGGGCAGTTTCTTGTTTTTTTGTTGAGAGACGTTTTTGGTACTCATCGATGTCACTGATAAAGTCAAGAAGAACCTTAAATTTATTTAAATTTGAAGTGACTTTACTCAGTTCTGATATTTGACAGCTGTAAGGTGATTAGACTTTCCTTGGTCTCATTATGAGATTTTAATCTGAGAGCAATTCCAGTCCTCTTTCTTCACTTTGTTTTAGACTCTACTGTAACGTGTTTTGATGGCTGTGTTAGAATGATCAGGATCGACTGCAGCTCCAAGGGGTGCAACATAATATATCACTGGGCTGTGTCTGTTGGAGACTAACTGGTGACCCAAAATGAGTCAAAAATAGGAAAGTTTTCCATCACAGTCTAATTAACGAAGCAGGAAGCCATGAGTTGCAAATGTTGTTTGCTAACTAAACAACACTTGCAGCCCAGTGAGACACTGTTAGATGTGCCAGCAACAACGTTTTTCTCCTGAAAGCGTGAACACAGGTTGAATTTAGACGGCTGCTGTGAATGCCAGTTTTCTTTTTAAGTTCAAGGAAACCAAAGAGCAACCAAACCTGCGAAAACAGGACAACCGGTCCCACCAGGCCAAAGTAACAACAAATATACAAAAAGTTAACAAAAATTACCTGAGTTGGCTGGAATCACCAACAGCAGGCCACAGGTCCAGGACAAAGAAAAGAACAAAGGCCCTGGGAAAACCAGGGCAGCCAAGAAAAATGTCCAAAAATGTGGGAGCATGAGAGGAGCAAAAACAAAGGGAGTCTTCAAGCGTGCCAAGAGTGCCAAAAGAGCCAAGAGTGCCAAGAGTGCCAAGAAAGCCAAGAGTGCCAAGAGTG